TTTTTTTTTTTTTTTTTTTTTAATTTTCCTTGTTTGGTAAAAAGAAGTTCAAAACCAAGAAAAAAAAAGAGGGGGAAATTATGATTTTATTATGAAAAATGAGTCCCCACGTGTGAGGGGTACGTGCAGAGGATGGAAATTTAGATTGGTGGTAATAATAAAAAACAACTCAGAACATGATTGAATAGTGAGTGGGTAAGTGTGGAGAAAAAGAAATCCATCGGACAAATTGTAGCATGTTACACGACCCATTTTCTTTTCTAAAGAAATCAGACAATTTTGTGTCAATTATGGGCCAACATGTCTGTAACCAAACATATGTTAGGTCCGGGTACGGTTGTTTAATTTCCCACAATTTAAAAAAACTGAAAAAGAAATTCCTTTTTGTTATTTATATTTTAATTTTCTCTTTGGATTATGGAAGGAATGTCTGTCGCTTTGCAGAAAAGAAAGCTTGAGAGGGAATCAGTAATGATGATGTTATGGATGAAGATGGCTAAAGGATCTTTGTTTTGTGGTCAAAGGCTCTTAAAAGCAAAAGGAGGTCACCACTCATCTGAGCTGAGCTGAGCTGAGCTGATCCATCAGCAGCGCTTATGTCTTGCTGGGCCACACCCTTCCTCCATCCACAGTTCATTTTTGTACTTCAAAAACACCAATAAAGCTGGATCTCAATTATGATTTCATAACAAAACAAAGAAAAAAAGAAATAATAATAATAAACAGATTCCAATTTGAACTTCAATCGTCTACTGTTTGAACTATTCCTCATCTTACAGAATTTTTCTCACAAAAACTTTCAACTGATAAGGATGGTTTTGGTTGGGAGTGTTGAAGTTCTTAGTTCTTTAACATGGAAGGAGCCATATCAGGAAATATCAAATGACTTCCTTTTTTACTTTTTTAAGTATCAGTCCACCCAGCAAAAACTGGCAACTGGCTCATACAATTGGCTGCCCTCAACTGCTGGGCAGATGCAATCCAGGAGGAGGAGGAGGAGGAGGAGTTCATATTACTAGCTGGGGCAGCAAACGGCCTAGATGTCGGTTGAGGCATTCCGAACACCATTGAAAGGCTTGTCTTGTCTGGACTCTCCTCCCTTGAGCTGCTCAAGCTGCAGCTGGTCACCATTGAAGATGCATTGGAGAAATGAGCTCCCATCATTTTGGCCGAGTCTTCGACTCGTAGCTGTGAACCATCATCGGTTATTGCAGACAACAACCGAGGCTTTGGAATGAGCTGCTGCTGGGATGACTGATACAGAGCCATCTTCCAGTCTGATTCACTTTGACTACTCTGTGAGGGCAAAGGCATAGAGGCCTCTGCATTGCTGTTGTGAGTAGGAGGGCTTTCACTAAGAGATTCATTATTAAAATCCGGCTGCTGCTTTCTTTTAGCTACATCACCACTAAGAAGCGTGTTGCTAGCGATGATCCGCTCGACGTCATACCTTGTGATATCAAAATTAGTAACTGCATTCATTCCTCGAAATTTTATGGCTGCTATGTCGTAGGCCTCGGCCGCTTCCTCTTGAGTACCTAACAGTTTCAAACAACAGTGGCTTTACAAAACTTTTCTTCTAACCAAGAATTAAAAACCAAAGTCAGAGATGTACTGCAGGATGCATCTGTAAAACAGCATCTTTGCTCTTTTTCAGAAAAGGGATTAATAAAAAATTACAAAGCGATGCAAACACAGCTTTATAGTTTTCTGAAGGGTTGGTTTTACAATGTGAGCCCGACCATTTCCAAAGCAAGAAAGATAATTTTTCCTAGTATATGAATTATTCATGACAGCTTTAACAAGATGCAAACACAGGAAACAAAATTCAAACTATTCAATCAAAATATTAACAGGAAAAACACAAAAAAGTATAGCACTCACTGAATGTCCCAAGATACAGATCTTTGTTACCAGCAACTCGGCCTATCCGAGCCTGCCATCTTCCATGTTGATGATGTCTGCAAAATAATACAAATAGGAACAGAGAAACTTCAGACAGAGATTCACTGAAAAAAGTCGCCTAAAGCCAAAAGCAAAATGATCAAGATCATGAAAATATTACAAAGCTTTGAGTTGAGACTTATTAGACCTTGTTACGCCTCTGTAAATCGAGGCCCCCCTCGAGAATCCACTGCTTCTCCTGAGAGATTATCAATTCACAAATTTTATACTCAAAGTTTAAGACCAAATAAAGTAGAACGAATATGCCGTTGATAGTTAATACTCATGGTAAAAATGTGCTTGCCTTCTCAGGTGAGCAACATATTCCTGCCTACTCATGTTTTTCATTTCCTCTAATTCTTTCTGATAGTTTTCCAACTGCTTAGAACAAGGAATCACTTTGAGTAAAGCATGGGAATTAAAAAGGAAATCTTAAATTAGCAAGAGAAGTTCTAGAAATTTAATATTAGATTTATGAGAAAAGAGGCATTACAGGAAAGTTAATGTGGGTGGAGGGTCCCCAGTACTTGAGTGCAGCAAGATCATAAGCTCTAGCGGCTTTCTCTTCCATATCATAACCTCCTACAAAAACCAATTTTTGGAACCACTTGATTAATATTAAATGAGGGAAAAAATTGACCAATAATCAATCAGTCGAGATTCTGAATGCTTACCAAGGTACACTGAAAACCATCATTTGAATCCAATGGCGATTCCAGACCACCAAAAAAAATACCGAAAACAAAGATTGAGTAGTTATGATTTTAGCAAGAACAAAAAGAAACAACAAAATATTGCTCCATGAGAGAAATAGAAGCACAATATATATATATATATATATATATTTTTTTTTTTTTACCTTGCCTTCCCTTCCTGCTTTGACCTTCTTTCTTGCAACTGTTGTCCCATAAATGTGCTTCATACCTACCCGTCCATCTGTGCCTGATTGACATAATGAAGCATTAAATCATGGAATGAAGATGGAGAAAAGTAAGACAGCAAAACAAAACAAATAAAAAAAATCTGAAGTGAACCTTGTAACCCCTCTATACTGTGAGGTTCTCTGACCAAAGGTATCTAAAGACTTCCTATGAACAATTTGCTTCTGATCCAACTTCTCATGGATTCTTTTCTTTGAATCCATGGCAGAACAGTCACCCATGACAGGTGAGACATGCTGTGTGGCTGTGACACAGCTTGATTGAGAGCTGGGACTCATAGTCATGGACAAGCTCAATGACTGTAAATCTCCATAAGCCATGGCATTAATGGGACCAGATTCACCACCATTTTCACTCATGAAACTCAACATCTTCTGTTCGAAGGAACTATTGTCAGTGGCAGCATAGCCCCTAGGAACAGCCCAATTCTTCATACCAGAAATCTCACTCTCTGCCACTGTTGGGTGCTGCTGCAGATTACACCCATCGGGCAGAATTACCTTCGAGTCTTGAAGCATCACTTCACGGCTTCTTAAGGATGAAAAATGTGCATAGGGTTGGTTGTTGGGCTCATGAGTTGGGTTTTGATGGCAAAATATACTGTCTAAGCTGAGAGCAATAGCTTCCCTGGCATTGCTTTCATAGTGATGGGACCCCATAGTAGCACCACCAAAGAAATCCTCTAGTTTTGGAGTAGAGCTACTCACCGCTTCAAATCCAAAAGTGAACAATAAAACAAAATAAGATCAGCTAAAACAATATTGATAATTTTTCTAAAAACAAAACTCCAGCATAGAGTAAATTCTGGGTCATAAACTAACCTTCTGGGTGCTGCCTGCTGAGAGCTTCCATTGAACAAATTGAACCATCAGACTTGAGCGGCATGACAGACAATGGTGAATAAAAACCACCATGTTCTCCATCAACACCATAGTAAATGCCATAGTTATACTGAGATGGGGAGTGAAAAAGATTTGCAGGAATTGAAGGGGAGGCAGCAGCAGCAGAGGAAGAAGAAAGCTCCATGTTAACGTTAGGGGACACAGAGAAACCTAACCAGTTACAGTTGTTGCCATTAACATTATTCATGGAATTCCCCCTACCTTCAGTTCAATCTAACTCTCTTTTCAAACCAATATACTCTAAAATTATAGAGCGAGTCTCAATGATTGGAAGAAAAAAAAAACTAACGATCCCAACAAATCCTTGGTTCACCCCCACTTGAGACTAAATATATTTTGGTTGTTGGCTAGCAGTAGAGAGAAATATGTCCAACCCGTCATACATTAGCTAAACAAACCCGCTCTCTGTTTGAAAAATGAAGAAGAAAGCAAGGGACTTTAAATCGAGCAAATAGAATGAGAGTTGGGGGGCATGCTTTGGTGCATTTCTATAGGGATCTGTGTATGAGAAAGACCATCCTTTTGCTTTACCTTACGCTCTCTCACCTACCCCTCTCTTTTCTTAATTGCTCCTTCTATGCAATTGGATTTAAGACATGGTTTTGCTGAGGCTTTTATAGATTTATATAAACATGCAAATCTTTCGTCCTATGCTTACTAACTACTACAACACGACTCAAGAGAGAAGGATGCCCTTCATTGCTCTCTGTGTAATCTCCATCGACACAAAGGGCACCCCACCCCTTCTGATAAGTCAAAGGAAGCAAAGTCAAGTACCCTTGAAAAATTATTGACTAATAGTGGGCACTGATGAAGTGGGTTCCACCGTATTAATGTGTTCTGGTTTTTGATTAAATGGTCTGATGAGGTCTCTGAGGACCTTGAATAAGATTACACATACGGAAGACAAACTGTCCCTTTAGTCACTTCATACATTGAGCAGCTTCTGTACTGCATGGACCTACGCATCCCAAACAGCCTCATGGCTTATAGGTATATGCCAGCTACCGTCACAAAAAAATAATAACAAGAAAAATAAGACAAGCTCGCCGCATACGGCGCCGTTTCTCCCTGTCTACTCAATTGCTCAATGCTCATCCTTTGACTTCAAAAACCCTGCTGTTTAGTCTTTAGGCCTTTGCCTTTGCCTTTGCCTTTGCCTTTGCCTCTTCGTGTGAGCTAATCCCACCCCATGTTACAGTCTCTTTATTCGGTGCCTGCTTACTGCTTCAGAAGGAGGGGAAAAAAAAGTGTAAAGAGGCCCCTTTTGTCAAAACGCCGCCTCGTTGAATGAGTTGTGCAATGGCCGACTATGGAGACAGCCATTAGCCACCCAACTAAACAACACTTTTTCATGCCAATTAGGACAACAGAGAATCTTCCTCCTTAGCCATTGAGCTCTTGGTGGGAATGCGTTTTAAGAGTTCTCTGCAGCTTTTTTCTTGTTCTTTTTTTCTTTTCTTTTATCAGAATCAGCGCGTGCTTATAAATATTGCCCGCTCAAAAAATCTACTAGACTTCAAAATTCAAATCCTAAATCACAGCACAAAAACTAGAAAGCATTTGATTCATAAATTTTTTTTAAAAAAATGGTTGGTAAGATAAATGAACTACTTGGAGTCAAAACTCAAAACACCCATAGTTTTATATTTGAACTCTTAACTAAATTGTTTCTTATCAACAAAGAGATGCAATCCTTACTTGTCTGTGTTACCCCACTTCAAAAGCATATGGGAACGGGACTATGATGAGGTTGCCATCAAATCACTAGTAATTGCTACTGTTTTCTTTCTACTCTTATTTTCTTTTTGACTAATAAGTAGCATAAATAAACATCTCAATCCGAATCTTTTCCATGTATATTCATTCACCTCTCTTTTTCTACCAAAAGTTAACACTAGGGGAGTGAAAATTAATCTAAAGGCAAGAAAGAAGATGGTCAAGATTTATTAGAATAAAAAGGAACAGTTGTGGGATCTTCTGCATTTGTCTCGTATCAAGCCTCTGAAAGCTGCCAACTCCACTTCTTGACAAATACCAGCACAGTGACACAGAAACTTCAAAATCTAATTCAGCACATGAGTGTTCTTAGCTGCATCTAATTAAACACAGGGCTTTCAATTATTGAGCAAATTACAAGTGCTTCATTTGGTGGCTACAGGACCGGCAAGCATTCACAATTATTCTCCTTCCCCACCATGGTTCTAACATCTTGAGAGCTGCCAATTTTTTCTTCTATGCTACTGTTTTCAATTTGATATCCATTTTACTTTTAGATGTTATTCCTCTTTAAAAGAATTAGGACCATTTACTAGATTTTTCTGTTCTTTTCAATTTTTATGAATCCTTATGAAATGTTTGCTAAATTCCAAAAACATAAAGTAATTTTTGAGAACTGTTTTTTTTTTTAGCCGGATTTCATCCTGGTTTTGTCTTCAAACATTTCTTTTTAAAACAGCTTGTTCTATACCAGTTTCTGAGAACACTTAAATGCAATAGCAAATTTTGGTATTTAAAATGATATTTTGGCTATCAAAGGGGTTATGATTGTAAAATTGTCAAGTCCATTATCGATTTATCAAACAAAGAAATCGTTGATAGGCATATTTAATTAATCTTTAGGAAAATGAAACACTAAAAATGCAAAATTGGCAACAAACTGTCATAAGCATATATCAGCAAACCAACTTGGAAAAATGGAGTTTTAGAGTCCAATTTCTCATGATTGCAATTCCCATTCCGGGTCCCTTTTGAAGTCTCCATCCCATCCGTCTTGAAAATATATTTCACCATATTTTTGCATGTAATTTTGCATGACTAAGTTTTTAGAGACAGATTTTCAAGAAGGCATCATTAGGTTTTCTAAAGAAAAGTGGGGTTATTTATTTCTCCTTTTTGGAGTTTTTGAATCTGGGAAATTATATTAAAGAGAGAAACCTCTCCTTTTGATTGCAGCAATGATGAGAAAATTCATCATTCGCCTCCTTCCCCCACAATAGATCTAATACCAATAGCATTTCATTGCTAAAGGAACATCAAATATTGTGATAACATGTCAAATCACAGGGTTCAAAATGAGCAGCCCCTCAGTTTGATCCTAAAGAAAAGCCCTCTATTCTATTCCTGGCATTTAGAACATCAAAGTCCATACTAGAAATGAAGGGGCATTTAGTGCAGAGGTTAGCTAAAGAGTATAGGCGTAGTAGGGCCCTAAAATTCCTTCTAAATCTAAACACTGTGAGGGTATATGAAATGAAATTCTTGTAAGCGCAGAAAATGCAATCTAAAACAAAATCTAAAGCAAAGATCACAGAGATGCACAGATGTCAACAGAAAAAGTAAATTGTGGATAGCAACCGAACCGAGAGCGACCACATAACTGTGTGTGTGGTACACACTACTGTTTGCATGGGGATTAAAGTTCTCTGCCCACTTTGCCTTTTTTAGTGAGAGAAAGAGAGTATTTTTTCTCAAAACTTAATGGCCTACCTCCATCAAACCAATGCCATCTCCTGCCATTCTCAACCCCATTTCTCTCTTTAACTTGCTTTACCATTCCGTCCATCTCTCTCTCCCTCTTTCTGCTAGAACTAAGTAAGGCATGTCATGTCCCATTCAAATTTTAGATTCTTTCTTTATGGGATCTTTGGTGACTCAACATAGTTTTTTTGACCATAAGAAATGAATACTCCATCGCCTTATTTTGAGGTTGAGAAAACTAAAGTTTAGGATCTACTGTGGAAAATCTTGTAGTCATAGCTTAATGGTGTTGTTTTATTGCAGCGGAAGATTTTCTTTTTACCATCCAAAAGAAGAAGAAAAATCCGCAAAGACAGAGCTGTAAAGCAATCAGAGACCCATACCCAGAGATTAAAGCTTAATGTTAGCACTTAAACAGTCTACAGAGGAATCACTAAAACGCCCTTCCTTTCTTTCTTAGGATCCCTATGCCATCAGACAGCTTGAAACCAGAGAAAGTCTGGTTAGAGAGAGGGCCCAAAAGAAGAATTTTTTTTTTAATTAGCTTTGGCGTTTGATTGGGTTCTTTTAAGGAAGAATCCAAACTCGCACCTCTCCTATCCTAGACGAACAAAACAAAAGATACGCCTTTCACATCTATTACGAATTGATTTTTCCTTCTTTTCTCTTTTAACTTTGTCTAATTCTTAAGATTAAAACAGCACCTCGACTGTGACTTTTAAACGAGTGTTTTTTTATTGATCATATTTTCCTCCTGGACTATTGAAGAGTTCTAAGATGTTGTTTGACTTACAAAATTTACAGAAAGAGACAGCTACAGAGTGCTTTAACACCACGACATGGAATCCAGCCTACACACACTCCCTTTATTACTTCTCTTTCTTATACATATTTCTCTCAAGTCTTACCTAAAAGGAGAGTGTGTCCCCTATCAATCCTGCAGCTTTGCAAATGGGTTCATGTACAATAATCAAAACTGTAACAAGTTTATCATTTCTTAACAGGCTCCAAACAGTTCCTCCTTAAAACTAGCAAATTCCTCTACTAAACAGGAGATTAGAACTAACTCGGAACATAAATCAAACAGTTGGTGTGCGATAATGTACTCTTTTATAGCGAGTGCATCCCCAGCCGTTTGTCTTGCGCGCGCGTTGTTCTTGATTCTAACATTTCTTGAGCATCTGATCTGATCTGATCTGATCTGATCATCAAATCACCAAACGGCGGAGTCTATTTGTCATCAAGGGTCGCCATCTGTCTCCCGTAGCCGCAACTCCTTTGCCCTGTTTTCCATTAGGTTGGGGCCTTTGCCCATTTGGCGGAGATTTCTGAAAACAATATTTAGTCTAAATCTCATACTTTTGAATAATTTCACTAAATTGTCATACACGAAAAAAAAAATATATATATATATATATATATTCGTTAATATTCTAAACATTTATGTCATTATTTAAAGCATTAAGATTTTATTGGTGGGTTAAAAGATTCTCATATTGACCTCACTTTAATAATTTTTGTATTTATATTTCAAAATAATATAAAGAAAATGAAAGTCAAAAGTTTATTTAAAAAATAAATAAAAATCAAAGAAAAGCGTTGGTAATTAGCGGAATAAAAAAACAAAAATAACAATTACCGAACCAAAGACTTAGAGGCTAGCCCATTACAATTCCATATCATTATGGGCCTTCTTAAGCCCCACAATTCAAGGTTTCGTAGAGCCCAAGTTCAATTATTAGGCTGAGCTAGGCCCAACTAAAACCGAGAGGATTTAATGGGCCCAGCCCATTAGAGAACCGAGGAGCTAAGGCATCAATCCCTTTCTTAAAGGTCGTTCTCTGGTATTGCACGAAAACGCAGCAGGAAGCAACGTGGAGTCGGTTTGACCAAAAAAAAGGCTAAACACAGATCCATCACTTTTAGGAACCCTAATTCTTCTTTAAGAGAAGTTGAAAAAACGTAAATAAATAAAACAAAAACAATTTTTTTTTTTTTTTTTTTTTTAATGATAAGGTCACGTGGCCACGTGACTTCGAAATACCCAAGCTTCTCTCTCAAACTCTTTTCTTAACCAAATGTTTATTATATTAAGTTTAATTCAATGAAATTCAAAAATAATATTACAAAATTATAAAGCTTTGGCGATTATTTGTAATTTATTTACCCATTCTTTTCAAGCTTTTCATAGAACAATCATTATATTACAAAAAAAAAAAAAAAAAAAAAAAAAAAAAAAAAAAATTATTTATTAANGTGTTGAATAAAATATCAATAATAATATAGTTGATGAAGAGATGACAAATTCATAAATTTGTATTATGCTACATAAAAAAATATTTAATTTTGAAGCCCTAGATCTACAATTCATATATTAATTAATAACATTTGAGATCTCTAAAAAAGTAGTAAGATTATATGATAAAGTAATATAAAGTTTTTAGTAGTTGAAATAAATAATATGAAAAGCTATAGTCTAATTAAGTGGACCAAACATGACCTATATTCACACCCTTGCTAAATGCCTCATTCAAGTTTATTTATTTACATGCCCCCTATTTAATATTTTATTTAATTTAAGCTTTTCCATTTTATCGGGCAATTATTTTAATTACCCTCATTTTTAGAGGCTAAAATATTTGCATGTTTTGATTAAATCAAGTAAATTAATGGTACATAATTGAATCGAAATCACTAAGATGAGAGCGAGCACATCCGGCAGTGTCTTAGGCTCATAATTAGGCCTACCATTATGCACAAATCACAATGGCAACCCCTTCTCTATCGGATAATATTGTGAAACCCTATTCTATATATTTAATGGTATAGTTTAATTTGAACCTACCCTAGGGCTCACATTTCTATACTTACTAAAACATATACATATTATCCAATTAATCTTATGAACAAGAAAAAACAATAATTAAAACTTGAATGTCGGAGTCTTCATATAGTAATTATAACTTTGTATTATATCCTAAAAAGGAATTAGATGTGTTTCCCCCACCCCACCTCTAAAAGCTACCATATCCTAATGTTTTTTTTGGAATTAATTAATTTTTTTTTTTTGTTTGTTAATGTTTGAAAACTCTTTATTTAGCGTGTAGTAAATCGAAATAATTTCTTAATTTTAAAAGTTTATAAATTAAAATAAAATAATTTAAATTAGGGTGAGTGATTAAACTATAATTATGATGGTGTGTTCAGAGTAGCCGAAATTAATAATGTTTCGTATCTATTTTATTTATTTGGTCAAAATAATGTTTTGCATCTGAAATGTCTATTTTGGAGTACTATAAATAAATAGATGGCTATGTCAAATGAGTGCACATGTCCTCCTAATTTAATATATCAACTACTTATAATAAATAAACTATTTTTAATTTTCATTTTAAATATATTATCTATATATCTCGCAATATTCCGTTCTATGAGTCTCGCCATATTACATCTCTTTAATCTTTAAAATTCAAGTGATTTGGTTAATTTACATGATTTATCGATTATTTGACATTAAAATTATAAATTTAAGAGGTAATTCTCAATTATGTTAGACAAGGTGAAGACGGGAAGCTTCTCCATTTCCATCTCCGCCTCCTATTTCATTTTCCATCTCTCCAAAATTCTCCTCATAATTTTTTTTTTCTGGTTTATTATTAAAAAAAATTATATATTTGATATATATAATGTTATATTAATATAATTCCTACAAATCTTTAACCATTTTTTTGAATAAATTATCATTAAAGTTTTAAAATGAAATAATTTATATATTTTTAATATGGATTAAAAGTTGATTTTAAATTGAAATGAAGAAATAAATGTAAGTTTTTGTAGAAGTAGTTGAAATTTTGGTTTGGTTTCTCATTTATTTTGAATTAATAAACTATGATGGTTTTATAGAGTCAAAGTTATTTATAATGACCACACCCACTCTTTTACTGGTCAATGGATCTCAATAATTGTTGTACTTTAACAACTGCACATATTAAATTATAATTTTGAGTAAAAAAAACAACCATTTGTTCACCCATATATTTGTAGCATTCTCACAACTATTTCCATGATTAGAAATATTATGATAATATAACATTCATATACTAATTTACTTCATTCATTCATTACCTTTATTACCTTTGTTTTCCTTTTAATAATAAATATTTATAGGAAAATTCTTAAAAGAGTAACAAAAATATGTTCAAGTTTATATCTGATTATCTAAAGTTGTCATATTAATTGTTAGGTACATATACCATATTTGTATTTATATTGACATCTATTCTCGTGCAAAACTTTCCTATTTAGAGATTTTGATGAAGTTAAAATATATCCGCTTGTATTTCATCCACACATTCATAAAAAATAAAAAAAAGAAAGGAACAAAAATGAAACAAATTTCCATATATACTTCGGTTCAAGTGAAGAAATGGGAATTATTTGATTCAAAAGCACCATCATTTCCCTCATATTGCAAAAGCAAAAGATATATATTTTTGGAAACTCCAAGTTCCAATTACAAATTTTCAAACTTGCATCGAGTTTCAAACACACTTAAAATGAAAAAGCTTGAACCTTTGAAAATGAAATAAATTGGAGAGAAGGGAGAGAGGGCGGAGGGAGGCGGTGGTTGGGGGAGAAAGCTTGGTGGCAAGCAAGCAGTAGCAGGGGTGGAAGGAATATCTCAAAGGGACAGCGGGCCCAACATCAGCGGTGTTGGTGTGGTCACGTGGCAATGCATCAATCTTGTAACGTTCATGCAACCACACGCCACCCGGCTGTGCCCCAAGTGGTGACAGACAAGACCCATCGTCAAACCTTTGCAACCCAAATTTAACAACTTTCTCATCATCATCTCACCCACTTGTTTGATTTCTTTGAAAAGATTGTGTTTTTCTTTTGGGGGAATTTGGGTTTTCAACTTATTAGGCGTTTAACAAACCAGATTCTGATCTTCATATCAACTCAACTGCTACTCTTCATACATCTTTTGACCAGGATTGATTTTGAGTATCCCTGGCCTGGCCTTACCTTCAAGCTACCCACTCTGCTTTTTGTGTTGGATCAATCTTTCTTGAGTTAAATCACTAACTAAGCGCCCAACAATGGAATGAATGGAGGGGTTTTTTCTTTTCCTTCTTTTTTTTTTTTTCTCCCTTTTTTCATGTGGGTGTCCGGGGGATTCATTTGGTTGTGTTCATTTAATTTGTGTTATGAAAAAGAAAATTTTGTTGGGAAGAAGGGAAAAAAAGGGATAAATTTGTGGTAGCCTGTCTGCGAAGCTCGAGTGTTTTTGGTACTCCTACCTTTGTCTGTTCCCAACTTTCAACTCTCTCAATTTCTCTCTCTTTCTCTCTCTCTGCAATTATTTTCAGCCCTTTAAAAATCAGTTCCTTATTCACAGTACACTAAACCCAACCCAACCCAACCCAACCTCAAGATGCGCCTCTGTCTCCCTCTTTTCCATCTTCTTCAACCTTCTCCTCTTTGCCCATCTTTTTTTATGAACTAATGCTTACAAGAGCTTTTGTAGATTGGTGGTTTTCTCTAGAATGGACTTTGGGGTAGTGGGGTTGGATAGTTTTGTGGATTCTAGCGATGCCCCTTCTCCTTACCCTGAAACTAAGCTCAAATCTCTTGGATCTGCTTTCTCTAAGCAGGATAGATCTGGGTTTGTTGATGATGATGACTGGAGCAACTCCAAGATTCCCAAAACTGATACCACTCTCTCCGCTTCTAAGACAATGCCGCTTCATCAAGGCTTCCCTTTGCTGAGATCTAATGCTTTGCTCTCTACTGATGGCCGCCAAAAGGAACACATGCTTAGCTTCTCTTCACTCAAATCTGACACTTCCTTGCAGACTAAAGACTCTGAGCTGATTGCAAGGAATCTCCAAACCTCCATTTACCCTTACCATCAACACAAATCTTCACCCTACTCTAGAAATACAGGTAATGAATGATGCCTCTACTTGTTTCTCTGTTTTTCTTTTGTTCCCTATTTCTTGAGTTCTGGTTGAGTGGATTGCCATTGCCTTTTATTGATAAGTTTACATTACGTGAGAAGGTGGGGCTTGCTCATATAGCTTTTCTCCCCAAATTTCATTTTTGGACTTGTTGGGGATAGCTCTAGTTTTACTGATTCATTTCTAGGATCCCTGTGGTTTTGGTGAAAGTTTTCAGGTCTTAGACTAGAAACCTAAAAACTGTTGAAGAATCTGAAGAGGGTCCACAATATATTTACCAAACTTTCACTATTGTTTATAGAAACATCAGCTCAGCAGTGAGTTTAAGGTTTTGTTGGTTTGGTGTGCAGGATGTGTTTCTGGAAGCTATAGTGGTAGCATGCATGGGGCTGTAGCTGGGATTAGAGCACCATTTACACAATCTCAATGGATTGAGCTTGAACATCAGGCATTGATCTACAAATACCTCTCTTCAAATGTGCCTGTTCCTTCTAATTTGCTCATTCCCCTCAAGAAATCTCTATATCCCTATGGCTTGACCTGCTCTTCTGCCGGATCCTTGCCTCCAAACACAAGTAAGCTTCTTATTTCTGTTTAACATGTTAATCAATTACTATGTTGCTTTTCACAACTTATGTTTCTTATTGTTTATTCATATGCATATGGATATGCCTGCATTTTCGAAAATGTGTATTGGAATATGAAAAAAATCTGGAAGTTCTGTTGTGTTTTTGTTCATCATCACATGTTATCTTAGTATAATTGGTAGAATATATGCTGGTTTTGCGGGCAGAGTATATATATATATATGCTTCATGCTTTTCCCTTTATCTGAGTTGTCTTTTGTCTCTTTATCTCTCTCACATTCTATATATCTTTGGTGTCTTTCTTCATCAATGTACTGTAGGGTGGGGTTCTTTTCATTTGGGTTTCTCTGGCAACACTGATCCTGAACCGGGAAGATGTCGTCGAACCGATGGAAAGAAATGGCGGTGCTCTAGAGATGCCGTTGCTGATCAGAAGTATTGTGAAAGGCATATAAATAGGGGCCGCCATCGTTCAAGAAAGCCTGTGGAAGGCCAGACTGGCCATTCCGTCCCTGGGACCACTAATCCAACAGCCATGGTGGCAACGATGACTACATCGTTGTCATCAACGGTGATGCCCAGCGGCGGTGCATCCAACAATAACCTCCCTATCATTCAACACCAACACCAACTCAAGAGTTTGCATCCCGGTGCTGCTTCCAATCCTGGTGTTGACGCCCCTGTCAACAGGTAACGTTTCTTCACTCCACACAACAAGAGCTGTGTTTCTGTGTGTTTGATCTTGATTAGAATGATTAGAACAAACTTAAATTCAAACTCCTAACTTCCTTTTACTCTGCTTTAAGGTTTATGGTAGACCCCATGGCTTCATCTTTGCTTTAGTGATAGTGACTTATCATCTTAGTTGAAGCTTAGGATTCCTTTTCCTGGAAGATATCATCATATTGCTATCATTTTCAGTTACTTTGAATACAATAGTTGTGTTGAAAGCATTTGTGGATTAAAATTATATCCCTATTACTGGGCCTTTGGCCATCATCAACTCAGTTTTGCATACTTTATGCATTTCGAGGTTGCTAAACAAAGAAACTGTGTGTAGCAGAATCCAGGAGCCTGGGGGCCTCTCAATGATGTCTTCCACCGTCAACCTTATGTCATCTAGTGATAAATCTGGTGCAAAACATGAGATTTCATTAGGAGAATCCACACAATCTGAATTTGGACTTGTTTCCACTGATTCCCTCCTAAATCCTTCACAAAGGGGCTCTTATGCCAATCCCAAGAACTTCGACTCGTTCCTAATCTTCAACGACCAGGAAACTCAAGACCAAGCCCAACATCCACTTAGACAGTTCTGTGAAGACTGGCCCAAGGATCAGTCGAGTCGTTCGGTCATGACCTGGCCAGAAGAATTTAAGTCGGATTGGACACAGCTCTCCATGTCGATACCAATGTCGAATTTCTCGTCATCATCATCCTCACCAACCCAGGAGAAGCTAGTTCAATCCCCACTCAGGTTGTCGAAGGAGGAGGTTGAGCCAATGGACATGAATTTGGGGGTAAGCAGGAATGATGGTGAGGTAGCTCAAAAGCAAATGTCTTGGGGAGGTTCAATGGGGGGTCCTCTAGGAGAGGCATTGACAAACGCCAACAGCTGTGTGAAGGAAAGTAAAGTGCCACCATCACTGAACCTGTTGGCTGAAGGATGGGATGGTGGTCAGCTCGGATCATCGCCTACCGGTGTGTTGCAAAAGGCGACGTTCTGTTCCCTGTCGAACAGCAGTTGAGAGAAAAAGGCAGATTGGTAAAGAAGGAATGCAAAAAATGGTGAACAGGAAAAGATTGAGAAAAATGGGAAGCAAGTATGGATTGAAGTCGGGACCTTTTTCTTTTTAATTTTGTTCCATTTGCTTTGCCAGCTCACTCTAATATATTATTTTTTTTTTTTACCTCTTTTTTCCAACTGATTTCTTTGTTTGTTTGATTTTCAAAAGTATATTGACTTGTGCTTAATTATAACTCCAATAGGGAATTCACGGTTGTTTTCTTCCCCTTCATGTGGGTTAATCATAATTGCTCATGCTTGGATATTGTCTGATTTAGTCTATTACGGATGTGCTATCTGCCTCATGCTTGTGTGCGTGGTCATCGAGATGCCTCATGCTTGTGTCGCAGTCGAACACTTTCCATCACCCACTAGCGCCATGCCATGCCATACCATCACACCAGGCCTGCCTCAACGCCCAAGCCACTAGGGCCTTACGCGACATTGCGTAGCATCTTACGCTAAAACCCATTACCTCTCAGCTGCCACTAACTAATTCCCCTTCAAACATTCAACCAAACAGCCGCCAACCCATGAATGATTCTTAGCCTAATTCTTTGAATAATTGTCCCGAAAGCGATCCCTTGCCCCACCTTGGTTTCAACGTAATATATTATTTTATATCATTATCTTTCCATTAATGCCCCCACCTACTATTAACCTGGACATCCCATTACCTTCCAACTCTTTTCCTTTTACTTACATGTGTATTTTATAATTTAATCCATTAACAGTCAAATTGGAAAACAATGCTTCAAACATCAGGTTTCCAATTAAGCCCCTTTTTTTTTTTTTTTTTTTTAATCAACCCTATTATATTCCCAAATTAATGGCAACGCTTTGTATTTAACAAAGTTTTCTCCATTTTCGTCTCATAATAATATTACCTTAATCCCTTCAATTTTTTTATTTTATTTTATTTTTATAAACATAAATTGACTAATTCTCATCCGTATTTAATTTGTCAATTGAACCAAGTTTGAAAAATCATTAATTCAAAATAGAAAATGTCATTTTTTTTAGAAACTCTTCATTTTCACCCTACAAAAGAAAACACTACCGAACCAAATTATTGTTGATTATTAGTTGATGTAAGTAAAGATGTACCTTAAAATCCAAGAAAAGAAGCCATTTTAGTGCAACAATAGTAGAAAGTTGAGCCATTAAGCGAAGTTAAATATCAATCACTATAAATAAAACAAACATTTCAATAATTTGACAAAAATAGGATGAGTTAAGTAAAGTTAATTAGAAAGAGAGAAAATAAAAAACATATATTACTAAAATAAAATAAAATGAACATTAATAGTTTATCTCTTAGGGATGGCAGAAAAGTGATTCAGTTATTGAAAAGGAACAAAATTGGACGCCCCATTACTTAGAATATTAATAATAAAGACATCATCTCAGAACCAACTCCTTATAAGAACTATATGTGAGGCTCATCTGAGAGCCCCAATTACATTATGAGCCACAAAAAACTGTATTCTCGAGGAAACGTTCCCTTTTCATGGGAGGAAAAGCCTGGGATTTCCAAGAAAATCTGCTTCCCAGATCTTCAACCTCTGCCCTTACACTCTGTTCATGAAGATTCTGAATTTGATGACGTTGGCAAGATTCCTCCGCCGCCGCCGTGCCGGGTGCAGCCATGTTCTCTTAGAAAAGCCTCCACCAAGGGAAGCCGAGGGGAGGAGGACCCTTTTCTGGAGGCGTATAAGGAGTGTACCAAGAGTGTACAAAAAGGGAAATTGGTGGCCAAGGGAAGTAAAGGAGGTGGTGCTATGGTTGTGAAGAAGAGTAAGTTGTTTGGGTTTCTTTGTAAGAGCTTTGATTCTTGTGAAATTAGAGATGCGAGTGTGTTCAAGCATAGCATTCGTGTGCTTAGTTGGAAGTAGAAACTACTTTCACTGTTCTATCCCCTCTAATAATCACAATAATAATCATAATTATTAACAAAAGCTTCATTAGTGGATACTAACGGGCTGGGCCTCGCAAACTCAGGCCCAATTATGCAGCGTCACGTGGGTCAAATACAGCTTTCAAATTTTGGATTTCATTGCATCATCTCATGGTTAATCTGGGAAAGATGCTGTTCTTGTTCTTGGAAAAGAAAAAGAAAAAGAAAAAAAGGAAGGGCCCAGTTAAATGGAAAAATGATGAGGCTTACCAATCATTTATAGATTGCTCAATAATTGAGGGTGGTAAAGGAGGTAATATCAATTATAAACTATATTAATGTTGAACTAGAGCAAGAGCGTGCATTATTACCGAACAAATGAATGTTAATATTAATGTATGTGAGATACTACATTCATTGGAAGAAGAGAACGAAACATTTCTTATAAGGGTATTGTCAATTGATGGTAGTGGTGAGAGTGGTGTTGCAAGAGTAGCCGACTTAGTTGTTGGATGAGGTAGTGTGAGGATATTTTAATCATTTTTATACGCGATGAAATTAAAAAAATATATATATATATATAAAATTTGAGGAAAGTGACTATTAAAAGAAAGAAAAAAAAACAAAAACAAAAAGAAGAAAACAACCTCTTGTTTTTGCGTTTTATTGAATTTAATTTAAAAGTCTCTTAAATTATTCACGAATTTAAAAAAGTAACCATTTGTGCTGACCAAATCATATATAATTAATAGCAAATAATATTAAATATATGTAGTCTACAAAACTGATGGGGGTAAAAAGAAGTGTGTCGTAGATTAAAAAGAGAAAAGGTTCAAATTAAAGTTAGAAAATGATATTGAATGTATACGCAATAAAATTTCGAGTCATAGCCAACATGTTAGAATATCGTCATTCTCTTACAAATTTGTATTATGAATATTTTTTTTAATACAAGTAAAATTTCAATATATGTTTAAAAAATTTAAAATTATTTTATCTATCACAACATATAAAAAATGGGAGGAATGGAAACTTTAATCTTAATAAAAAATTCTAGATGATTGATTATCATGAATAAGCCTAAGTTTGTCTTATGTTCCAAAAAAATAATAATAAATAAATAAATCAAAATTTGATATGATGGTTGGCCCCATGTATTTCCAAGTTTGATTTGCTATAAAAGAAAAGAAAAGAAAAGGAAAGGAGAAAGCAGAAAAAACTGATGCATAGGCATTAGTAATAAAGCTAGTCGCCGATCTTCTTTTACACACTACTAGTTGCTTAAAAAACAGCGTAAAACCCCACCAATATATAGCTTTCTTTTAGTTTATACACACCAGAGACACACAGAAGTGGCGAGAATTTGGTCCTTATAATGGTCTGGTCGGTTTTAGCAATTAATGAAGTTTTTGTTGTTATAAAAGATGTATTGCGATTGGGAGAGAGTCGGCGCGGGGATTTGTTGTTGTTCGTTGTAACCGAATTGTCGTCGTTGGAAATGTCGGGAAATTAATTCTCCTCGGCTGTACAAAAGTTTCCGCCGCAGAATTTCGTGTTCTGTCAGGAGATTGTCGTTTTCCGTCCGTATACGGTTCGCCTGGTACATCGTGAACCGGAACCGCTTTGAAAGCTCTTTGTTTTCAACTCTCAGCTTGTTCAACAAGTTGCTTAAGTTTTCTAAGTGCTTCTGTTTTCGCATCCGGGACCGCCTTGCCGACTCCCGGTTCGACTCTATTCGCCGCCGTTTTCTCTCGTCTATCACCTCGATCTTTTCCTCTGGTTCATCCCGGTTTTCAGAACTCGAACTTGAAATCACCGGTTTTGAGGAGTGGAATATGTCCAATCCGGTTTGTTCCGGAATCTGGAACAAAGCCGGCAAGAATTCATGGTCATGGTCGTGGTCGTGGCATTCCCACGGCGTCGAGGCGTTGTCGAAAGCCGGAAATGGGTTTTCCAGCATGGCCTCGTACGAAGAACCGGTTGGAAAAGTGGACAACATGACGACAGGGAAAAAGAATTTGCTCAACAAAATAAAGGAGGAGAGAGGGATGAGGAAAGGGAAGAATTGCAGCGTAGAGGCCTTGTATTTATTGCAAAACTCATGGCGGTATTTCCGAAAATTAACTTAACAATAAGGGCAGTTTCGTCATTAGCCGAAATTAGCTCTCTAAGCGTCTTTGTAGTGGAAGTGTGTAAAGCCAGTGGGTCCATGACATTTGTGATAGATATTTAGCTTCGTGGTGAAGAAACAACCAAAGTGGGTCCCCACACAACGACACGTGGCGACAATTAATTCGACACTAACGTCACACCCAATTCTTATCAATTAAATTCATTTTAAAAAAAACAATACTTTCCACATGATCCAACAGTGTCGACGCCTGGATGTAAAAAGCTGGAAACCAGAGGGTTAAACTGTCATTTCACAAATGAATTATTAGATTATCGGGGAATAATTTTAGCCTAAAGTCAAGACTTTAATGTTTCATGTTAATTATGAACCCATTATTGCATAGAATGATAGAAAATGAGAGAGAGAGATTCGAATTAATTAAATACCAAGAAATTTCGAACTTTAAAAAGCGCAGAATATTTGCTCAATCTAAAAAGCCCATTGACCAAAACTGGGAGATTACTTGTTAAATACTCCATGCACATAAAAATTTATAAAACCTTTTCTTAGATTTTTAATTATATAGTTTAATTGTAAAAAGCTGCAAGAGTTGGAGTACAACAACCATTATAAGATTCCCCTGTTATTCCCAAATTTTATAAAAGGAGTGGTTGGGAGTTGATAGCAAAGCACAAAGTTGGGGTCGTCCATACTTGGCCGCATGTGGGCGGCATACCCTCTGCCCATAAAGATGTTTTTTTTACCTAATTTAGTTAAATGAAACATTGTAAGTAACTAAAGCAGGGGTGCTTGTGTTTGGTGTAATATAACTCCAAGCTTAATCAATTTTTTAGTTGATACAAAAAGTTGAAGAGGGTAGCAAGCAGAGGGCGTTAAGGAAGGAGGATGGCGATGGTTTTAACTTTAAATTCCAAAGGAAGGGGAAAAGGGCACAGATTCAGAGGTATATCACATGGGAAAATATGGTGTAAGAAATGCAGGAGGAGCTTTTGTGGTGCGAAAATGGGGAAAAAGGTGTTCGTTTCTGTCCATTGAGATACTCATATTGGGAGTTGCAGTTGGGGGGTTGGGCTTTAGAGGGCCAGTTTTGATGCGTCACTCATTCATGGGTTTAATATGATACGGTGATTGTCTTTGTTTTACCACTTTTTCACTGCTCATTCGTACATCAATCTTGCTTTTCTTCGCCTTCTTTTCACATGCCTCTTTTACTTTTCCTCTTATCATCCACCATCAATCAATCAATCAATCCGGTTCCAGTTCCCCTTCAAGTTCAGCTGCTAAAAGAAGGAAAGACGCGTGAGAACGGAAAACAACGAAACATTTCTCATGAAAGTTTAAAAATTTCTCCTTGTAGACTTAGGGTGTTGGAAGGCGTAGAAGAAAGACATCTCATAAAAACGATTTATTAAAATATAAAGTAGGAGTTATTAATACGAACAGAGTGGCATTAAAGTGATCTGTGCTCTATGAAGTAAGCGTATCAAATATATAAACAAATCAATAGTAATATGCTAATAAAGAAGATCAATATTAATAATTGCAAAGTAATGAAATTGGTCCAACCCAAATGCCTTTTGTTTAGTTTAACTTTACAAATCAGAGCCTTCAAAAGTTACTTTTTTTCTTGAATTTTAGTTGTTTATTTTGCTTCCATCTTGGTATATAAAACAATTTAAAAAAAAAACCAAAGGGTTAAAAAAATTCTTAAAGGATGACTCAGAAAATCTTGAAGGAAATGAAAGTTACTCCTTATACTAGCAAAATGTACATTTCTTTTCCGTGCTTCAATCAATAAGAACTTCATGATCTTCTAAGAATTTTCTTGCAATGCATGTGAGTGAAGACAAAACATGCTGGAAGTACTCGTATTAGTCTACGAGAATAGTCTTCACTTTTAAGAAGTAAGAAGTAGGTAATGTGACCATGTCGTGAGAGACGAAGGGGAATGTCGGAGTCATTAGGTGCTCGGGATAGTTTTCACTCTTAAAAAGTAAAGAGTAAGTAATGTAGCCATATCGCGGAAGATGAAGAAGAGTGCAGGTCATTAGGTGCCCGTGTTAGTATGAGGGAATAGTTTTTCCTCTTAAGAAGCAAAGAATAGGTAAGATGATAGAGAATGCTAACGCTATTAAATGTCTCATCCAAATTCTGAATCCTATAAATAGTTTGAAGCCCAATTTAGGCCTTGACATGCCGATCATTCAAAAGCTTGAAACGAAAAGGGAAGTTAGTGTAGTAAATATCACAATCCTCATTCCTTTTCATCCCACATATGATTTAAATATTAGAGGATATGTGACAAACACTATATGGGTATACAAATCTCCATTTGGTGTATACTATTTTTTAAATTTTCTTATTGGAGTAGTGCTTATCACCCTTATTAAATATAAGTGCACTAAACTTCAACGTAGCTATCAAAACATTAATAACTTCAATTATAGAAGGTTAGAATCCAACACTCATTATTCATCATATAATATTTTGTTTCTACAATATTATATAATAAGTGTGTGTATATATATATATATGAATATTAATCTATACAGTGGTCCATCATAAACCCAATAAAATTTAGATTTTGGAATAAATTTGCTCACGTTAAAAGAGTTGGGTTGAGCGTATCAAAATATAGTGGTCCTAATCTAAAAAATGACAATATCTCCTCGTTAAAATTAGGAGGAGAATTAGATGCATTGGATAGGATGAAGCCTTTTGTTGTTCAAACAGAAAAAGGAAAGGAAGAGGCGTTTAAAACTGGTTCGGCTCTCTTCTTTTGACTCACTTTTGAATATTCATACACAAACCATTACTTTTTGTAACCACAAACTCAAGTTTCAAGAACAGAGCCGAACCAGGTTTAAATTTCAAGAACACACCAAGAGTTCTTCAACTTTGCAACTCAACTTGAATTTTTGAGTCCACAAAGATTAAAAGCTGGGAACCATTAAACTTTGAAGCCTGTCTGTGAAGGAACCCACGAGATTCTTAAAAATCTCGCAGGAAACATGAAAAAAAAAACATCATGAATTTAATTGTGTTTTGTTGTTGAGAAAAACAAAAAGTTCTCCGGGTTTTGCTCTAATCAGCCTTCTATTTCGGAAAAGACTAATCATAGTCAAGTCTTTCATTTATTTGGTATTACATTTTTTCCATATGGAATTAAATTAAATGGGAGAATTATTAGAATTATGATAATGTTTTATTTATTTATTTATTATTACCCAAAGAAATGTGTACGGGTATTGACTAAGGTAAAACCATATTTAACCTTAATTAATTAAAATTTATTTTTATTTATGGATCAGTAGTGTTACCTACCTACTTTTTACATGTTCACACATACTTTGACCCAATTGCCGGTTGGCATATGATTATAACTATTTGAAGAACGTAAAATGAATTTAATTATTAAAAGAATTGGTGGTCTGCACGGCCACCGCAATCCAAGTAGTTGGTGGATACATTCCATCCCACCAAATTTTCAACGTATCTAATTTTAAATTTTAACTCAATAAATAAGTTTGTTGTTATTATAGTCCCGAGAATGAAAAACAACCCGTGAAGCATTTCATGTCGGCTTACACGATTGATGACAACCTATATAAGATATGAAGTCTATAATATATGAATGTTATGAGATCTCGTGAGATCCTACGTTAGTTAGAGAGAATAACGAAATAGTTTTTTTTTTATAGGTGTATGGAAACTTCTACCTAATTCACATGTTTTAAAATCATGAGATTGACGACGATACATAACGGGCAAAAACGGACAATATCTACTCATGATGGGTCGGTGTGCCAATGAGGATGTTGCGCCCCAAGAGGTGGATTTGTGAGATCTTACATTGGTTGGAAAGAGGAACGAAACATTTCTTAAATGGGTGTGGAAATCTTTCCCTAGTTGACACGTTTTAAAATCGTGAGGCTGATGACGATACGCAACAACCCAAAATGAATAGTATCTACGGTGGCTCGAACTATCACAAGTGAGAATTAGTGTGAGATTCCACCTCGATTGAAATGAGGAACAAGTGTGGATTGTGAAACGAAACATTTTTTACAAATGTGTGGAAACCTCTCCCTAAGAGCCCATAGAGGATAATATAGGTTAGCTGTGGGCTTGGATTGTTTCTCTCGTGAATCGTGCATAATTTTTGTTGATCTCGTTAGAAGGACTTTAATGTCCCTAGAACTCGGCCATCCTATCCACATCAACATCGGAGTGTGAGAAGGGTTAAATTTTTATTTTGATGTTGGTGATTTTAAGGAGGGATACCTTTATATTATTTACTTCTTATTTATGATTTTGGAAATGTCAACTTTCACGTCCACCTTTCATTCTTATTTATTGTGTGCCTGTTTTCAATTGTATTTATTTATTTTGGTCCATGATCTGCTGCTGCTCGTACAAAGTCCAAGTAGCACCCTCTTCAAGTTCACACGCTTGCCCATTCTCCCTCTCTCTCTCTCTCTTTCCCCTTTTATATACAACCCCTTTCCTTCCTATCCCTTTATACACTCACTTCCACAGCCACGCATGGCTTCTAAATTCATCACCTTTCTCTGCCTAATCTTCCTCCTCCTCCTCCTCTCCAACAGCCCATCTGCCTACGCTGCCCGCCCCGTTCCCACCGTTTCATCCGATGCACCAGCTACCCAAATCCCGAATCAGGTTCGTTAAGAAATTTATCAATAACTTATCAACTTAAACTTTTTAGTTCTGGTAAACAATTTGATATTGACATGTTTTTAAATTGGGTTTTTATAGGAGTTGGAAACAGATCAAAGTGATAGTGAGATGATGGATGAGAGGTGCCATGGAGTTGGGGAAGAAGAGTGCTTGATCAGACGAACTCTAGCTGCCCACTTAGATTATGTGTATACTCAAAAGCATAAGCCATAGTCAAAAATCATACTTGCCTATCCATTGGCTTATATATAAACTTCTATCCATTGGCTATCTATTGGCTTTTAGGGTTGAATTAATAATCTTCTCTCAACTCTACCATATTGCCACCTTTCATGAACTTTTACAGCGCTTAATTTTAATGTACAAATTCCAAGAGTGAAAAAAAAAAAAACAATGAAGCACATGTTAAATTTGGATGTTGGGGCTGATTAGATATTTGGATCCAAGCGCCATGCAAGATTTAGGCAGCTTTTTGACAGCAAGCATATGAGATCAATTTGACGATATAAATGGAAATGGTCCCTCGGGGTCGGGTTTCAACTTCAAGCGCTAATTAGCCAAAGTGGATCAAAGTGGCCGGCCATTGGTGGCTCCAACGCGTAGCAATTAAAA